AAAGAATTCAAACCTACAGTTACAAATAATCTCCAACAATTTATACCTAAAATATATGTTTGAAATGCTATATCTAAATGCAAAACATTTTTGACTTTATTTTCTCCTATTTTGTTATCTTCCAACAATTATTGTTATAATTATTTTTAAAAGAAAACCAAAAATTGTAAAGAAATTTTGATATCTTTTTAGATAGTTGTTTAATTTTTTATTGCCAAAATTTCTGACAGAACATGTTATACAATTTTATGGCTAACTTTTCCTCATTCACGTCCACGTTGAGTGTGAATGAATGAATAATCGTTTATCCACATACGTGTTACGTATTGAGTAATCTTTGCTTACTTAAAAGGCACGCATTTCAAGAGTCCAAACTTGGATAATTTACAAGCGCCCTCAATTACGTGGATACACCTCCGCTTGTTCTGTCTTAACTAAACTAAGGGGATAAGCATAATATAAGATTTGATTGAATTTTAATATTATCAAATATTTGGTACGGTATTGTATAAAATAATATATTGTATAACATAATATTATCTAGTATTTGATAATGCACTATATAATGTTATATAAGATAAAAATAAATATTTTTAATAAAAATATCCTTTAATAAAGAATTTATATAATTCTTCAAAAAAATGTCATATGATATTAATTTTTATAAAAATTTATTGATTAGTGTGTCCAAAACATAAATTAATTTATAAAAATTAAAATATTCAATATTTAAAAATTAATATATTGAAAAATTAATTTTTATTTTAATATATTAATATTAAAATAATATATTGTTTTTTGAGAATTGCACTGGTCAACGATGTTAATACACTAATCTCTTATCAGGCAGGGGCGGACCGAGTAAGGGGGTTAGGGTGGGCCTCCGCCCCCCTTAAATTTGGGAATTTTTTTATATATTATATGTAAAAAAATGTGATGATGAAATTATTGTGTTGTACATACTTTTCTCTTCAGTTTTTCATGCTTCTGCTCACGCTCTTACCTGAAATATCTATAGTACTACTATTGTACCATTCGCTCAGTGCATTTATCCAATAAAAAATGAGAAATAATTGTCATGCTTGTATAGAAAGGAGAGAAAAATATTTTTTTTTTATCCAAGTGTCACCTGTTAAATGGCAGATATACCTACTATAAATGTACAGAGATGACCTCGCTCTTACCATATATTTCTTTGATTACATGCATTGAAAAAGAAATTGTTTTGAGTTTTAGTACGGATTTAATTATAGATGAATTTAACAATATGAAAACACGTAGAGCAAGAGTCAAGTGAAATGATATTAAGTTCTGTAATAGATTTTTTTTTCGATTTTTTGTATATTAAATTTGTATTATATTTTAAGTACTTTTATTTATGATATAATATTTTTTATTTTCGCCCCCTCTTATTAAAATTTCTGCGTCCGCCACTGTTATCAAGCCTTATCCCTCTCCCTGAGACCGGATTAAGTTATACATCGTTTTGATGTATTAAAGAATTCTTCTGTATAAGCTTATATTATACGATGGTGACATCAAATAACTGAAAATGTCATAACGTATAGTATAAGCTTATACTATCAGGCCTTATACGTCACACCAAATATGCCCTAAAGCTAAAGTGACTCTCTTGATAGTATAATGTTTGATTAAATTCTAATATTATTCAATATTTGATATAATATTATATAAGATAATATATTATATAACAATATCATCCAGTATTTGCCTATTTGGTATACTAAATATGATAAAAATAAATATTCTTAACAAAAATATCTTTTAATAAAGAATTTATATAATATGTCATATGATATTAAATTTTATAAAAATCTATTGATCAGTGTATCCAAAAAATATATATTAATTTTATAAAAATAAAAAACTTCAATATTTTAAAAATTAATATATTAAAAAAAGTAATTTTTATTTTAATATTAAAATAATACATTAATTCTTGAGAATCGTATTGGTCAGTAATGTCAATATATCAATTTCTTATCAGGTCTAATTCCATACCCTTAGGCCTAATTAAATCATACATTATTTTGATGTATTAAGAGGTTTTGTTGTATAAGCTTATACTATACAATAGTCATATCAAACAACTAAAAATATCATAATGTATAATATAAGCATATACTATCAAACCTATTTGGTATACTAAATATGATAAAAATAAATATTTTTAACAAAAATATCCTTAATCAAGAATTTATATAATTCTTCCGAATATGTCATATGATATTAAATTTTATAAAAATCTATTGATCAGTGTATCCAAAAAATATATATTAATTTTTATAAAAATAAAAACTTCAATATTTTAAAAATTAATATATTAAAAAAAGTAATTTTTATTTTAATATTTTAATATTAAAATAATACATTAATTCTTGAGAATTGTATTGGTCAGTAATGTCAATACATCAATTTCTTATCAGGTCTAATTCCATATCCTTAGGCCTAATTAAATTATACATTATTTTGATGTATTAAGGAGTTCTGTTGTATAAGCTTATACTATACAATAGTCATATCAAATAACTAAAAATATCATAATGTATAATATAAGCATATACTATCAAACCTTATAGTTATACATATACTATCAAACCTTATAGTTATACGTCGTACTAAATACATTATAAATTCTGATTAATAGGATAGGAATAAATATTAAGGGGGTAAATGAACCTCACTGTTTATTATGGGGTTATAACCTGATTTATATTTAATCCAAACCAATTTGACTTACTATAGAACAAAATAGAACATATTTAAGCCTATGAAAAATTTGTTTAAAAAATTGGTTATAGAACTAATTTTGCAAGGCTTAATCTACAATTCTATAGGCTGTCCAATATTATATTATTTATTTTAATTAAAATAAATAAAATAATATGTTAAATAATTTTATTTAATAAAATAATATTTTAAATTCTTGATAGATATTGACATTCTAATAAGTTTATATAAGTTAATAGACATAGGGTAGATCTTTTATTTTAAAATATATGCTAAGTCAGCCTCATTATTTAGCCAATACCAAACTAATAGATCAGATGCTGATATATTTTGAACAAAATTTAAATGACCAAATTTATCTTTACTCCATATTAATCCTCATACCTCTCAAAGTTAGGTTATTTATATGTGAGTTATGTATTTTTTGACATAACTATGTCATGTAAGAGGATTATAATTATTCAAAAACAAATTAATGATTATGATTTGGTCACTTTAATCATATTCCAATATTTTTTTCTATTATCTCTCATCATCATTAATTTATACTTAAATGATTATAATACTCTCGCATGATATATTCATATTAAATAATATATGAGAGGATCCAACTCCTATTTATAGTTAATTATGAGACTTTCTATTCAGGTTCAATCAATTAAATTGAACGGTGAATACGGATAATGTGATAATAATAAATATGTATAAATCAAGGCTTTAATATTTGTAGAGTGAATGTAGATAAGTTATTTACATTTTCTTTCAAAACGATATCATTTTAGACTAAAAAATTAAAAACTTATAATGAAAAAGACTATTATCATCCTGAAATAAATTATAATTATAAAAATACCTTAACTTTTCTTCAAAATAATATTATTTTGAGCTCAATATAAATAAATTATGTATGTTTACTTAGAAAAAAGTGAACTCATAAATCAATTAAAATTATGCTTCTATAATAAATGATCGAAAATGGTAAAATCACGCGCCAGAAGCCGCGAATGGAAAGTCGAAGCAATGCCCAACTTTCTAGACACAAATTCCAATGTCATCTTCTCATCCTGAGTGTCCCTCTCTCATACGGGACAACATTATCTTCTTACATCGTTTATTATTATTATTATTATTATTTATTATATTTTTTAAATTTCAATCCAAATAATAATAACGATGAAAATATTATTGGAGATAGGATATTGTTAATATTAATTAGCACTACTATCCATCAAGGTTGTTAAAATTGAGATTTTAAATAAAATCGAGAAGGAGTTAAAAAATCGTAAAACATAAAATCGTAATATAATAAAATCGTATAAATATAGAAACGTTTAGAATATTGGTAAAATCGTTTTGATAAAAAAAACCGTAAAAACGTAAAATCGTGGTGATAAATTGAGATTTTAACAACTATGCTATCAACGTCACTACCTGGTAAATCAATTATATGGATACAAACGTTCTGCTTTAACTTTTAATTTTTTTTTCCTCCATAAATTTATACTTTATATTTATTTCTACCTTTGTATAATTATGATTCTCTAAATTTAATGTTTTCACATTAAATATTAAATAGAGGAATCATAAGTTCATAACCATATAAAGGTAAATATAACCGTTCAATCAATTTAACGATGAAACAAACTTACAGTAATACTAATTAATAGTAACAATATCATATCTCTATAATTTGTATCATTTTAAATGAAACTATTATATTTTTTTGTTTTTACTTTTTTTTTATCCTCCACAACATGAGAAAGAAAAAAAAAATTATTATGGGTTCACTTTTTCTGCAGTTACTGCAGATAAGTTATCTGCAGTAAGCCAATACGACGTTGTTTTGAGACGAAAATCATGATGTTTTTGTAATTTTAATTTATTTTAAGGTTATAATAGTCTTTATATTTATAATTTTTTAAGATTTTAATACCAAAACGACGTCGTTTTGAGAATAAATGCAGATAACTTCTCTGCATTAACTGCAGAAATATTTTTCCCTATTATTATACCAAAATACTATATTTCAAATAACACAATATTGTATCCTTTAAATAAGTAAAAAAAGTCTCTCATTCTCTCCCAATCGTAATTTCTATTATATAACACTATCTCTCATCATAAAATACAATAATTTTTTAGTAAAATGAAATAATTTTAACTCCTTTAAAATCGCAACTACTTTCCCTTGATAATAAATTATATATTTTTCTATTGCTTCTCCAACAGCCAAAAGCTAAAATAAATAAAGTTAAAATTCAAGATTTTGTTTTTCACACTATTCGCTGCGATTCACAATTCACGAAACACCAAAAGATGGAGAAAGCGATCAACAGACAGAAAGTTCTGCTTCAACATCTCAACCCTACATCGATCTACGCCAACGGTTCATCATCATCCCTCTATGTTAGTTTCACTTCCTGTCTCTTTTTCTATATTCAATTTTCAACTTTTGTTCAATAATTTGGCGTTTTAATCGTTACCCTTTTCGCCTAACCCGTCTTGATATTTTGTTTGGCGTGTGGGAAAAACACCCATTTGGCAGTTTTTGCGGAATCAGTTTTCTTGGTTGATTATTAGCTCGAAATTTGTAAAAGTTTTGGTCTTGAATGTGTGTATATTTACTTGAATAGATTGTTTGGCATGGGGGAAAAGTACCCTTTAGCCAATTCTGCTTGAATTCTTTCTCCTTGATTGATTAGTAGCTTAGAATTGTATAAAAGTTCTGATCTTGTAATTGTATGCAGTTATCTATGTATTCATTAGAATTTGAATGGCGTGTTTGGCAAGAGGGAAAAAGTACCCATCTATCTTACTCTCTTGCTATAACTAGTTTCATTAATTTAGTATTAGGCAATAGCTAGAAAATATTATTTGTATTTGTGGTGTGTGTTTGTATATAGAGCTCAAAACATTGTGTGTATGGGTGTATTCATGTGATGTGAATTGAACTTACTATGTTGGATTTTTCTTTTTTGCTTGAACATTTGATCACCAGGCTTCAGTGTGTTTGGCGGGAGATACTGCTGCTTATCCAAGGACGGCTGCCTTTGGGGACGATGTAGTGATTGTGGCGTAAGTTCAGCTCTTACTTGATTGAAATTTCTTAAGTTAAATTTTTTTTTTAAATATAAATAAATAATAATATTGGAAGATCACCGATTCGAGTATAGGAAGCAGCCTCTTTGCAAAAATACAAGGGTTAGATTGCATACAGTTGACCCTCATCCTTACCCTCGCAAGTCGGGGAGCCTTGTGCACCAAATAGTATTTAGTTATGAATTATGAGAATGTATTTTGGAGAGCTCTTTAAATTTTTATCCAGATGAATAATATTATGTATTTGCAGTGCATATCGGACTGCTCTTTGCAAATCTAAACGTGGTGGTTTCAAAGACACTCACGCTGATGATCTGCTTGCCCCTGTTTTGAAGGTTTCATTCATTTTTTTATTTATTTATAATTCTTTTGCACTCGAAATTTTAAATGAGTTGAAAAGAGTTACTACATTGTGTAACCAATGATGGTCTATGTACATTTACTTTGTACTCTAATTCATATTCTGCTCTATTAATGTATATCCATCTACATGAACATCATGTTGAGGTTTCTTTGTAGGCTGTAATAGAGAAAACCAACTTGAACCCAAGTGAAGTTGGTGACATTGTTGTGGGTACTGTATTGGCACCTGGATCTCAAAGAGCTAGTGAATGCAGAATGGCTGCTTTTTATGCTGGTTTTCCTGGTATATGTCTTGATAATTTGAGTTTGTGAACCTGATAGATGATTTTGTTTTGTTAATTTTACATACATACATACATACATACATACATATATATATATATATATATATATTTATTTATTTATTTATTTATTTTTCATCCAGAAACTGTGCCTGTTAGGACAGTTAATAGGCAATGTTCCTCTGGGCTCCAGGCTGTTGCCGATGTAGCTGCAGCTATAAGGGCTGGATTCTATGACATTGGTATAGCATTCATCAAATTGTTTCATACTACTTATGGTTGCTATGACTTTTAGCACCATGTCTTACCTTTAACTATTTTATTTAGGTATTGGTGCTGGTTTGGAATCTATGACAGCTAATCCAATGGCATGGGAAGGATCAGTGAACCCCAAAGTATTTGCCCCTCTTGTCTTCACTCATCACTTTTCCCGCGTTATTGTTTTTCAGATAATGGGTACAAGGTCCTGATATTTTTTTACTGTGTTGTGACAGGTTAAAATGTTTGAACAAGCCCAAAACTGCCTTCTACCGATGGGGGTTACCTCCGAAAATGTAGCACAGCGCTTTGGGGTTTCAAGGCAGGAACAAGATCAGGCTGCGGTGAGTTGGATATATCTAGTTGTGCAACATTATGTTCTATTTTTTATTTATTTTATTTTAACAACTCTTAACTTAATCTTCTTCACAATAATGTTGGTAGGTTGAGTCTCATAGGCGAGCTGCTGCCGCAACTGCTTCTGGTAAATTTAAAGAAGAAATTGTCCCAGTTTCCACCAAGGTATTTTCCATTACAGGATTTATTGAATTTTCTTTGGGTCCTTAGGTGCTAAATAAGACTTTTCTTCAATAGATTGTGGACCCAAAAACTGGCGAGGAGAAATCTGTCACCATTTCCGTTGATGATGGAATTCGACCAAACACAACGTTGTCTGATCTTGGGAAGCTTAAGCCTGTGTTCAAGAAAGATGGAAGCACCACTGCTGGTATAAGATCATTCAAAATGTGTTTCATTTCCTCAAATACTTTCTAGTTGATATAACCTTATTTAATCATTTGATGCCTGTGTTTTAGGTAATTCTAGCCAGGTAAGTGATGGTGCCGGCGCAGTTCTGCTGATGAAAAGAAGTGTTGCAGTGCAAAAGGGGCTACCCATCCTTGGTGTATTCAGGTACTTAATGGGTAACATAGAAGCTATAAACCTTGTCAATATTTATATCCGCATTTCAAATTGGCATGCTGCGTGCTCTATAAATGAGGAAGGGCCAATAGATTTCTCTCCCCCTTTAAACAAGAAGATAAAATTTATAAAAAAATTTAAAATGGAATATATGTGTTTGATTGTATTGGGACAAATACTAATTCAGTGGTAGCTTGTCAGAAAAATGTACTTCTTGTTTATTGGTTTGGCCAAACAACTACATTTATACTTTACCAGATTTCATATAACTATTTCCTTCTTATATTGGGTGTATTTAAATGGTTCTCAATCTCAAGTTCCACTAGCTTAGTACCAACTTTCTTGACTACACCAGTAACTTCTGATGGAGTGCTTGATTCATCAAGCATAATAGCTCATAGCTCAAAATACATTATAAAAAGAAATAAAAAATTCCTGATGGTTGACAAATTCCTGTGTTCACCACTCTGTTATAGTACACATTCCTAATCTCATATAACATTTGCCAATTTTCCACTTGAACTGATTGTGATGGTATATGAAATACATTATTATTGAGGATACTTTAAAAACACTAGAATCCCTTAATGCGAGACTTGATCCTTTTAATTACTCATGCAGTATTGTCTAGGAAGACTCATCCTATCGAATTTATGGAGCAAACTTGTCAAGCATGTCTTCCAGGAACTGGGATTTCATACTTAAATATTTATCTTTCTCTTAATAAATTATATTCCATTACATATTTATCTTTCTCTTAATAAATTATATTCCATCCAAAAATCATCAATCATATTTTCCTTAAGATGTGAAATTGATAAGGGAAAAAATTAGCTTTATTATTATCTGATGAAGATTATTTGCTGGCGGTTATGTAGAACTTTCGCTGCAGTTGGTGTGGATCCTGCCATCATGGGTGTTGGCCCAGCTGCTGCGATTCCAGTTGCTGTGAAGGCTGCAGGTCTAGAGCTTGATGATATTGACCTTTTTGAAATCAATGAGGTATTAAATTAATATGGTTGTCTTATTTTCTTTTCTTTTTTCTCCATTTGTGTGTATTCACTTTAATAATTTGCATATGTTCAGGCATTCGCATCCCAGTTCGTATATTGCCAGAACAAGCTAGGGCTTGATCCAGAAAAGATCAATGTTAATGGAGGTGCAATGGCAATTGGGCATCCTCTGGGTGCAACAGGTATGTACAACAACTTATATTCTCAAGTTCATAAAGCTACGGCACCACTCCTCCCATTTATATATAAAATATAACTTCTCATACTTGTATCCTCTTTCTTCACCCCCACCCAAAAAAAAAAGCAGAATTTACTGCTGAAGGCATTACCATGATGAGATGAAAATTGTACAAATTTGAAAATTTGGGGTCAAATTGATTGTTGAAATCATTGGTTGAAAATTTAGGGGCCAAAATGGAAAAACTGAATAAGTGAGGGACAAATCATAATTTAGACTTATAGAAATTTCTCTTCTTTTTAGGCAATTTATCAAGAGATATAATAAGATCGAACTGGCCAGTTGGATTGGTTGAACTGGGAATTGGTCCACCGACCGGTATGGTCATGCTTGAATGTAGGAAACCAGGCTTTGAGCCATCAAACCAGCATTTTACTGGTCAACCAATACAAATAGGTCTCGGTTTGAATGGTTGAACCGGTTGAGACTTTCTTAGTTCTTGACACCAAAATGAGAAAACCTCGTCTCTAACCTAGATCTCGTAAATGTAAAGTGATTGACATGCCACTAAAACAAGTAAACCTGTTGGTTATTTGGCTCATAATATATGATATGTATAAATTTTCTTTATTTTAATCAAAAATAATATAACTTGCTTTGGAATTTGAATCTAAGATATGTGAGAATTAACAGTTTTGCTCAAATATTAATGATATTGATATAAAAAATTAATATAGTAATTACATTTATATAAAACATTAATATTAATTATGGGTAATATGTTTCTCAAAAAATAAAAATAGGTGGGACCCACTAAGGAGGAGAGAGAAAGAAAAAAGTGGGTTTCATCCACTTTTTGTGTGTGCATGAGACAAGACAATTCGTCTCATGCAACATGAGAAACATATTCCCTTACAATTATACTCCAGTTCAACCATGGTTAAATCGTTAATGTGAATTACTCCCTTTACCTGTTCAATGGTTGGTTAGTTTTAGAGTGTTAGTTATGTGTGTGGTGGGCCCCAAATTCACCTCATAAGAGGATAAGTAACTTCAGTGATGTTCCGATTCCAAAGTTTCAACAAAAATCCATTAAGCATATCAAGTAATCGAAAATATTATAAGAAGACACCAGGTTTGAAGGGAGTGGAGTAGTAGTTTGTTCCATTTAGTAGCAAACCACGCAACTTAGCAACCAAACTCGTTATGTATTGATTGACTAGTACTTGAATGATATTGAGTCCCTATTCCTCCAATGAGTACTAGGTACGTATCCTGTATACCTTATAAGTACTGGTATCAAATACGTATACGACACTGATAGGGCACCCATTCAGGAGTATCCATGCATCATAGATACTCCTGACTGGGACTCAACCTGGAACTAACTTGCTGTTACTTGTACTTGTTAAATACCAATGAGATTTTATTGTCTTCATATAAGCACTTTTTTTTTCTTTTTTTTTTTTGGGGTGGTAGGTGCTCGATGTGCAGCAACTCTATTGCATGAAATGAAGAGACGTGGCAGGGACTGTCGATTTGGAGTTATATCTATGTGCATAGGTACTTTCATTTTCTCATTATGTGTGCGTGCCGCGCGTGCTTGAACTCTGCTAAGAATAATTGATATTGTCAATTGTGAGCAGGTACTGGAATGGGGGCAGCTGCTGTTTTTGAGAGAGGTGATTGTGTTGATGAGCTTTGCAATGCCAGAAAAGTGGACAACCTTCTTTTATCCAAGAATGCTCGCTAGAATTAGTTACTTCTTACTCACTTTATTTGGTCATCAATTAAGAAATCAAAATAAAGCTTTGTTACATGGTAGTGAATCACTACTCAAGAATTCAATACTTTATATTTATCGGACTCATTAGTTTGTGAGCTATTCTTGTTTTGACCTTACCAGCAGAATCTGTGTTGGGTAGAAAACTAGTATTTTGTATCAAATATTCTGTCTATGATCCGGTAGACCCAAGTAGCCTATATATTGGTTGCTTGCCGCGAAGGGAATGAACTTAATAATGATTTAGGGGAAAGTTTGTTCCTTGACTTGTAAAAACTAAAGTCTATGAACAACGTAATGACTATTCTGAATTTCGATGAGTTGATCACTATATAGTTTAGAAAAGAGATTGAAGATTGAAACATTCTACACTAGAATGAAAAACTAAGATTGCAGGGTAGAGTTCTGTAATGATATTTAAGTTAGTCTACGTGAACATCCTACTAGATCTTATTGCTGTGCTCAAGATCTTATCATGTTTTTTTTTTTTTTGGGGAAAAATACCCAAAATAGTTCTTCATATTAAGTAAATGGCTTTATTGAAAAGAGGAGAGAAAATATTAATTGAATATGAGTGTGATAGAAAAAAAAATTAGCAGCAAAAATAGAAATATTAATTAAAGGGAAATATACTTCTATTGTGAAAAAAAAGCTTCTACAGCAAAACATAATAATATCAGGATATGCTGGTGGATTTATTATTTTATTTAAAAAAAAAAATGAGTGGGCATTACTTTTCTGTGTCTCTTGACCTAGAAAAAATTTCGGAGTCACTTTAGAAAAAAAGGACCCAATATTAAATTCATTTTTTTATTTTTTTTAGGAATTGATTGGTACCGTAATTGAATTTTGATGAGGGTGACTTGCCTCCTTACCTTCTCTATTTTCACATCCATGTTAGACTCTCTAGTTTTTATAAACAAAAACAAGATAAGAAAAATGTATACACTCCTTACATTGTGTTATTTTAGAATAGTTATCTTGAACTCCTACTCTATGCTTAAGTTATAATTAGTTATCACCTCAGTTACATCTGTAGATTCATACATATAATTAGCCACCAACTTGTTATTATTTTTCAAAGAAAACGTAAATATTTTATTATCCTTTTTATTTTTCTGTTTACATGATAGAAAATATATAATAATTTTCAAAGAAATCATATTAAAAGAAGAGTTTTTTTAAAATAAATAAATTATCATATGCATTATTAATCAATATAGCTTTTACTTTAACTTATGTATAAAAGGATTTATTTATAACTTTAAGAAAATTTATATACCCTTCATTAGAAAGTTAATGGGTGCTATTTAAAAACTAGGGATAATTAGAGTTTTTTTTTTTTTAAACGTAGTTAAGTTTCTTTGACGACACCTTCTTGTTCCATAATATTGTGGAAGAGCACATCCCAATTCCCATTCCCATTCGCAACTAAAAGAGTCAATCTGTATTGCAGAAGGTGAATAGATTTATCGTAATTCCACCAGTGAATAATAGAGAAATAATTGAAAAGACTCCGTTTAAGTAAGCTTATTTGTGAACAAGTTAAGAGTGTATTTACTCCTAATTTAATTTAAAGTGCATATAATCTGAATGCACTGAAATTTCATCCTTATTTACTTTACAAACTTAGACTCCGTTTAGTGTACTTTTCAATTCATTTCAAAAAAACTTTTCTCTGCAGATGAAGGGAAAACATTTTCTCATGTTGCATGAGAATTCAATTCTTATGTTGTGATTCTTCGATTTGCGTGCAAAGTTTGTTTGTTTTTTTTAAATAAATGTGGGGGCCACCACTAGTTGAGTCATAACATGAGAATTGAATTCTCATACAACATGAGAAAATCAAACCCGTAAATGAATTAGCAAATGACATTGAAGTGATGGATATCTTATAACAAAAGTACGGGTAGAATCATATATGAGAAGATTTATTTCATGACACTTTGTTAAAACTTTAATTTCTTGCCCTATTTAATGAAATTAGTATTCAGCAGTTCAAACTATCAATTATTCCCTTTGTGTACGTCAAAATCACTATTCTACTTAGGTAACAGTTTTGGAGACAATCCAACTCCAGGTTAAAATAAATGAATTATAATATCTTAGGTAACAGTTTAAATTTCAAAGAAACCCATAAAATAAATGGGAGTCATTATAGTTGTTTCACAATATATACTTAGAACACCCCAACTATAACTGTTTAGAGAATGCTTAGCCGGGGCAATTTTCCTCGCAAGATATTGGGAATACTGATGAGTTATCACGAGGACAAAGTACTACCCTTAAAAACGCTACTTGCAAGAAAGATTTTACGTTAGCATGTTGTGCCCAGAAGGGATTAATTGCACGCCTATGGTTTAACCTAAAATCTTTTCACTAGATCTTTAAAACCTCACTCGTAAAAAATTTAAAATCATAACCTCCTATAACCATATAAAACCAAACATTGAATAATTTACATCTAAAGTTGAAAGCATATTTAACCTGTGCATTGTTGCATACCAGTACTTATATAATGCCACTCTAATGTTGCCAAAGAAAAACGAGTCACCTAGTGGAATCCGTTGCCTAATTTAAAACATAATACCTGTACTTTCTTCTTCAAATCAACCAGTGTTTCCAATACACCTTTTTCATAAAAACTGCTTTTAATAAAATCGATCATAAAATTTGGAACAGTGTCTTATTTTCTTTAAGTAAGGAGTATTTTTGGTTCAAATTAATACTATCAGGTCATTTGCATTCCTGCAACAAACTAATACGTACATTGTATGAGAGTTACACACCAGCCAAAGTGGTCACTTTGGCGCCCAGGTTAACTTTTCACAAATTTTATTTATTATATATAATTATATAAGAGTTCTGTATCTCTTCTGTTAGAGAGTATAAATAGGCTAGACTAAGCTTTGACTTAAGTATGCTAGGCCTGTGTAAAAAATATTTAGTCTGATCTGGCCTGTGTAAGCCCCAAAATACAAGTCTGGCCTGACCTATATTTAAAAAATAAAAGTCTTGGCTTAAGCCTGTTTAAGCCTATTAAACATTTAACAATTAAAGAATAACTAAAATAATATTACTTTATTATTCAAAATAATTAAAATAATGATTTTATTTATTTATTTTAAAATAAATAATATAATATAAGCCGACCTGTAGGCTAATAGGCCCGACATGTACAAAAAAAGCCTATGACCTGTTTTCGAAATAAGTTTTCTTAAAAGTCTAGGCCTGTTTTATTTTACTATTTATAATAGGCCAAGTCTGGCCTAATATAGGTTAGGCCGTAGGCCCTTGTAGGCCGGCCTAGCTCATTTACACCCCTATCTTCTGTCGCTGCAAACTTTAAGAGAGTCTCCCGCTGACACAAAAACATGGTGGGACCCATCATGTTTTAAAAAAAAAATGGAAAATGCTAGTGAGTCCGTGACTTGAGAAAATCACTTATGTAGAAAAAGTGATTTTTTCATTATATAATTAATTATAATTTAGTCATGGTTAAAATTATAATTTGGACCTATCTAAAAATTAAAATATGAGGGAGGATATTCTTAGAGAGATAGTGGATTGATAGTGAAAAATTTTTATAGCAAGAATATTCCCTCTTAAAATATATTTAATAAAATTAAAAAACATATAAGAATATCTAATAAAAATAGGGTTCGCTTTTTCTGCAGTTACTGCAATATGTTATCTGCAGTAAACCCAATACGATATCTTTGAGACAAAAATCGTAGTGTTTTTGTAATTTTAATTTATTTCAAGATTATTATAGTCTTTATAATTATAATTTTTTAATATTTCAATCTCAAAACGACGTTGTTTTGTGAATAAATGCAGATAACTGATCTGCAGTACCTGTAAAAATATTTTTCTGATAAAAATATAACTCTTTCGATTTAGATTTCTTCTTCTCTTGAGCTGTTCTCTCTCTCTCTCTCTCTCTCTCTCAATATCAATTTCTACAATATCCATGTTAGAATGTTGTTGAGCTTTGCTTAATTAGTATTTTTCCTTTTTTATATCTTAAACCTTTTCTAACTTCTGCTTTTCCACTTTTTTTTCCTTCTTTTTTTTCCAATTTACAAGGCTCTCTTAGTTTGTCAGATGGACCAAGACTTTCACTAGGTAACCTTTCCCTTTAAATTTACTCTTCACAACAATGGAAACCTGCAATCTTTAATCATAGTTTATAGTTTTGATAAAATTCTCTTTGTCTAGCAACATGCCGATTGTGATGTGATAGCAATATGACCTAGTCTCACTCTCACACGAAAAACCTTGTTTTTTCCTCTCTTTTTTCAGTCACATTAGTACCTTTTTATATGTTTGCTTTAAATATAATCATTAGCAATTTTTTATTTGAATTTTTAATGTTATATGACATTATATAGTACATAATTTAAATCAATATCCTATAATTACGATAAATATTTTGATAATTTGATATGTAAATTTTTTTAACCCAAGCTAAAATTAAAACCTGTCTCCGCCACTAACTAACCTTGAGACTTTTTTTTTCATTTCCCAATATATTCTTCCAATAGCAGAAGACTAATCCTTTCGAGGCGAGAAATCACATTAAGTAAGTAACTTCCATCAAAACCTTTTCCATACACGGCCAAAAATCAAACCATTATTAGTTGGCAAAACTTATTTCCAATATTATTTTTATTTCACAAGGGAAACGAGCCATTTAAGTTCAATTGACTTGTATTTTTCTTTGTTTCATAGGCTAAATTACCCATCTAGATGCAGCAGAAAAAAAATGAAACAACTGGGTTAATGAAACTTTGCATTTGGCATGCTCTTGCCAGTGCAAAATTATACATCTTTACCAATTACCACATGCAAATTAATTTTGAATCCATGATACCTGCTACCACAAATCTCTGTGGTTCCATCAACCAAACATTTGTAACTCATCTGTCTTAGAAATAATACGGCCTTCAGACTTGCCACTGATTTGCAGACTTCATTACCACCAGCAGTAGGAGTTCAATTACAACACCGTGATTCAGAACAGTTATCTCAATATGCATATCCCAGAACTAATCATAATCCAAAAGACAGTAACACTATATCAGCACCATAAAAGTTGCCAACTTGCAAATTTTTCTATACGGTAATATTCATATTTTGATAATTAATAGATCAAGAAGTTAAAATAGCACACTGAAAAGGAAGCATGTCTTTATTACAATTTCAACTTCTAGCAGAAAGGTATTGTCATGCATTGCTTTACCTCAAAAGACAAAATGAGACGGCTGAGATAATCCACCGCAGCATGATAAATTAACCATTTAAATTCCAAAATGAATTAGCTGATAGATGACTTGCACACTGGGCATGACGTTTTCCTATGGAGCCAAGGATCAATACACTGCCATAACACAGGTTAATACGCATTAGCATTTTGCAATAATATCTTTACAAAAACAAATAAATAGATTCATTGTTTAATGGTCTCACATCTTTGTGAAATTTGTGCAAACAGGGAAGGTGGCGAATAATTTCTCCCCTGACTGGATTCTCAAGACATATGGCACATGCCTCTGTGAAGTTGTCAGTCTGGCAAATAAACAGGAACATAAAATAGAGTTAAATCAAAAATTGTTCCCACAATTTCCAAGTGAATTGTTGCCCGCAACCATTATTTCCCCCCACCTGGTTTCCCTGCCCCAAAACCTAAAATGTGATAGCAAAAGACGAAAAGTTGGTAATTAAAATAAAAGGAGGGGAGTCAGCCCAAAAATGGACAAAAAGTACCGACCATTATCCCTAGACATTCATGAGTTACCTGGACGGTGGACTGTGGCAAGCTATTGATCTGATTGGCAGATGCACCAGTATGTTGGTGATTTTGTTCATCAAGGGCCAATAACATTTCATAATCGTTTCTGCATAAGGACACAAGGAAGGCATACCTTAAATTCAATGTTATATTTTTATGATAAACAGAAAAAAAAAATAAAAAAAAAACACTTTTCTTATCAATTTTGGAGCTGCCAGACACAAGAACTTATTAACAAAACCCAGATATCAAGGAATAGGAGAACATGCCGAAATGAGTCCACTAGAAGCCCTTGCACAACTCAAAGACTTTTTAAAAACAGTGCAGTACTACATTATATATAAATGGAGAGATTCTCGTCTCAATGAGGGACTTTGTCTAATCAAGTATAGTGCATTTGTTCATCCTTTTCTTTTACTTTCTAAGTTGAGTTTGCTATTCTCTAAGAATTTTTAGAATGAAAAGTTAAGAAGCCAGATTTTGAGATTAAAATAAACTTTCCACCATTTTGGTAGAGGTTAAACAAAATAATCAACCAAAAAAGGGAAACATTTGCCCAGCTTAATTCATATATCTTATTCCAATCCCTACTCTTTGACCTTATAGCAGAAAAGTGATAATTTAGTTTCAAACTAAAAGAAAATATATTTGCTTCTACATTGTCAATTACCATTATTTCTACAATGTTCCATCCACATCCATTAGAAACAGAAAATATGTATAATATCCGAAACGTAAATCCTTGATGAGAACAAGCCTACTGGTATCAACCAATTTCTAGAATTGGAAACCATCTTGTAAATGAAACACGGAGCCTGTTTGGGTGTCATTCTACACAAGAATGAAACATAATTTATGCGTATAAATCATTCACAAGGAGCTTACTCATTGAAATCGCGATGAGCATGAAAAATGTCATCAGCCACTCCCATATCACTAAGATCCCCCACTGCATCCTCTAACGCTTCCAATATATCAAGTCTCTGCATAGGAGAGAAATATGCCATTCATAATTTGAACTATATTTATGCAATACCACCCAATGACAAAAGATTACACAAAATTTAAACATTCAATGACCATAAAAATTCTGAAGACTAAAAGCGGTGTATGTTCAGAAACTCATCTTTATGTTCACATTAAGCAGTGTATAGGACCCATTTGCAAGGTATGGGACTTGGAGTCCCACATTAGTTGTATAGGAAACTAATGTGGGGTTTATAAGCCCTTGAATACTCTCACCCTTTGAGCTAACTTTTGGAGTGGTGCATCCCAAGGTTCTTATCACAATATGCTAAATATTAAGGCAAAATAACATTTCGTGTATGATACAATACCAAACTTATGGTTGAATTCTAGAAGTGTATACAGGGGATAGTCATCAAATCAGTTATGGGAGAATATTCCCAAATTTGTGAGTGGGAATTGGTTAGTAACTGTGGCAAGTTTGTTATTGCTGAGCGGTTAGAATAAATAAGGGATAGTAGGAGGATGGAAGGATTTTTGGGCATTTTGGAACCTTGGGCACCTTAGGGTGATTTGGGAGAGACTAGGGACTCTAGAATTCCTCTAGAATTATCCTTTACTGTTATTTCCTTTTTTGTTAGTACATTTCCAGTTCATTGTAATTTTCTCCTTTATTTGTAATTGTCTTTGTTTCACTGTTTCTGGATTGTTTATCTCTTGATGAATATATGAAAATCTGATTATTCAGGCCAAAGTCTTTGTTCTTTGTGTTATTTCTGTATTTGAGTATAACGTCCTTATCAGTGTACTTCGTTTGTTTTTGAGATTTTACTTCTGTCCCTTGAGTTTTATCTCATCCAAAATAGCCACTTATCTTTTAAAAATGTAGCAAAATTTTCCTATTTCATAATTCCATCTAATCCAGCAGACCTCTTCTATGTGAGACCTCTTCCATTTCCCTTTCTTTTCCATCCTCCCCATACCCCATTTCTGTAATTCTTACCTTTAATAATCCAGGGCTGTAACAATTGGTCTGACCTTCCAGATCTTGGATAAGGCTGCCATGGATTCAAGTGTTGGAGCTCTGGAGAGTTTGACAAAGATTTTGAAGAGAGACCAGCGAAGATGAGCGCGATTCCAAAATTGTAGAGAATAAGGAGATGTTAATAATATTGCTAAAGATCCCAAAAAGTGATTGGGAGAAAGAGAAAGAGAAGCTATCCTCTGAAATTAAGAAGTGATCATGGGAATTTTCTGCCATGGATGTTTGTGGTTTGAAAAGCAGCACTGAAGGAACAAAGATGTCAGATGAGGGGAAAGAAAAGTAGGATTTGCAATCAAAATCAGGTACGGAGAAGTCCGTGGCAAAGGACGAAGAAGAGTCTCAGAGTTTGTCTAGGGGAGAGGAGAAGATGCAAGCAAAGGTGGTTTCAAAACCAGAAACCAATAAAAATAAAGAGGAGACAGAAGAAGGTAGGTCTATCATTCTATTAGATAGACCCAACAATTTGTTGAGGCCTCTTCGATCATGGGTGGCTGTGTTTCGGAATCACTTGAAAAATGGAAGAAAAATATATTATTGAATTGTAATTACAACTATACAAAGGATTCTCTATTTAAAAAGATTGACTAGCCTATTGGGCTAAACCCAGAGAATATTCTAGAATACAACAATGATTAATAAATAAAATAATAATTATTTACAACACTACCCCTCAAGCTGAGGAATAGATATTTATCATTCTCAGCTTGCTAGTAAGTTCTTGAAATCTATCCAAGGGAAGTCCCTTTGTCAAAATATCAACTAATTGACGTCCAGAGGGAATGTATGCAGTGACGACATAGGGCCATCAAGATGAGCAATCTTATTGCGACTCTTGATGGTAGTGCGAACAAGCTTAGACTATGACAAATAATTCAACCCATCAAGTCAATAACTCTGATGTAGAGCAGGAAGATCACTAGGACTAAGTGGGGTCGCAACAAGTTGTGCAACAGTCGAATCATCATCGGAGTTGGCCATAATGCGAAAAATAGCTCAAAAACAGCAACAGGAGGCACAAAAAACACACAAAAGCACATCGAAACGACTTCTGACTCCGTTGATGAACAGTGTTTCCGACAATGAACAATAACACGATGAACATTAACGTCTGCAGACTGATAGATCTGGGGAAAAAAAAGTCAAATAAAGGTCCTCTCGGTCCAAAAGGTCTGCGGAAAACTTTCAGTTGGCAGCTAGAGGCAAACAAATAGGGTTCCGCTCTAAAGGCAGCAGTCGCGGAAGCAGAGCTCTGATACCAACTTGAAAAATGGAAGAAAAATATATTATTGAATTGTAATTACAACTGTACAAAGGGTTCTCTATTTAAAGAGACTAACTGACCTATTAGGCTAAGCCCAAAGAAGATTTTAGAATACTAAATAATAAATAAAATAATAGTTATTTACAATAGAATCAAATCATGAATTGGAGACGAAAAACAAAATAGAGATAATAGAAAAATTGCAGGAAGAAATGCAGCGAAAGCCAGAAGACGTCATCTTTTGGAATTAAGAGAAAGCAAAAAATACGATGCAGAGATGAAACAATCGCATAAGCCAAATGGAGAAGTACTTGCGATCGAGCATAGAATGGAGAAGACCAAAATAGGTTCATTCATGGGGAAAGATGGATCCATGATACTGTTGAGATGCCGTGGAAGAGAAGCTTGGTGCCACCATTGATAGCACGTCCAAATGCCAATCTCCATTCTTGGGTCTCTTGCACAACTCAGGAGATACAATAGCAAATTGGATTGGGCTATCTAGGTTTGACTTAATGGGTCTCTTGTTTATGACCTAAAACAATTTTTGGGAAGGGCCCCACAATTTAAGCATACACCCACATTGCACCTGACGCTAAAGGTAGGCGGAGAGAAACCATTTCCTTTGTGCAAGGTCAGTGAGCAAATCACTCATCACATGCCCCTGGAAGGAAGGCCATTGTGCCTGATAGGTGACATGGCAGCAACACAAGTCACGCTCAATGGGTGTTTTCATAGGTATGAGATGGTCAGGTACGAGCAGATTCCTCATATGCAACTATTTTGTAATATTTGCAATTCAAAGAATCACAATGATGGTGGTGGACTGGACATGGGGATACTGCAGATGGGCGATCTGTTATACTCATTTTATTCAAGTTGGGGAACCTCAAATCGGAAGCAACGCGAGAACCTCACATAATCACTTAAGGGAATCATGGAGAACGGAGGAAATAACTATCTACCATGAATATGACTGATTACTTGGAACCAATGAAATGTTGGAGAACTGGACATGAGGGTACTGCAGATTGGCGATCTGTTACAGTCATTTTATTCAAGTTGCTCATTGGGATTCCACCCTTGGATGTAGAGAACCCCTGGACTCTAATGGATAATGTTCTTAATCATAAGATTGGTTTGCAGTTCCTTCACTTTCAACCACATTCAAATGTGACAAAGGATATTCCATTACTTGTTATAAGTTCACTCATGATATCTTGGTTAAGAGTTTGCTTGTTACATGAAAATTTTGGGCTAGGAGAATCTGATACAATATTTGCATTGGATGCTTTTATTGATATTTGGTGGGTATTTGAGGAGAAGCATGTCCAGTGTTGTAAAAACGTAGTGTCGAAACGTAAAAACGGACCGTGTCTACGTTTTTATGACCAAAATCGAGTCAAAACATTAGTTGAAACAGGTTTTGAATCGAAACGATTCAAACGTAGTGTCGAAACGTAGAAACGGTTCAAACATAGTGTCGAAACGTAATATGATTTTTTTTTTGCATAGTTCAAATATATATATATATATATATATATATATATATATATATATAACACGTAATAATAAAAAAATGTATATATATTTTTAGTCATTAATTAGCTTAAATTTAGTAACTTATATAATTAATACATTAAAATTATTCTATATAAATTAAAACAAAGATTAAAATTGACATTCTTATAAAATAAACATGTTTGTGGATTTTGGTTTTATATATGTTGGATATATATTTTACGTTTACGTTTACGTTTTGCGATTTTACGTTTTTGCTCACCCCTACCGTTTTTACATAGACTCTACGTTTTAACAACATTGAGCATGTCTCTGTTTGGACATGCAGCTTATGATTACATTCAATATCCTTCTTATTCATCTTCCTATTTTTACCATAGTCAGATGCTTGGTTCTGGTTTCGAGGCTTTGAAGCAAAAAAACTGGTAGCTACACCTTGAGGGCTACATTGAAGTTACAGCTCAACAAATTGCACGTATAAGTTCCCATCCTGGACAAGTGATTCAGAGACAATTGAAGGGCTTACTGAACATGATGGCCAAGCAATTCCCCTGTTTTCTAGCGTACCCAACACTTGTGGATGTTAATGCTTACGAAGAGAAGCCCTCATAAGAGCTTCATCATGTGCTGGGTTGAGTAAGGGGTATCCACCCTCAACTAGTTCAAGGGGCTCAACTAATGATAAAAGAACTAGGAAATGTTATTGTGTTTTGGGAAGGATTGTGGCTAATTAAACTTCAGGAACTTCTCACAGACATCGTGAGGCAAATTAATGGGCTGAGAGGGCTGTTGTGCATCTCTTAACTGTCCCCGGGCCAGGCATGCTAACAATTCTGCATTAAGGGAAGTCTTTGGCCAGTGGCAACATCAACTCACTAGTGAGGCTTCCTCAGAAGATAACACCACCATACAGGAGCAGTTTATAAGATTCCAACCTTGGGGAAAAGGTTGTTTTGCAAAGGGGTGGCATTGTTATGACCTATGTTAGGGAGTGGTTAAGTTGTAACTGCTGTATCCGGCAGTTAGGCTTGTAATTAGGTGGTTATTCAACTAGGCCTTTAAGGGATAGGTACAGCTTGATGTATAAAAGGGATACTCTGATTGTAGTCAGGAGTTTTTTGATTGATTCATTGTTTGGCTGAGAATTTCTCAAAGAAAGGGGAGTTCCCCTTGTGAAGAGCTTGCTCTTTATCCTTATACTCTTTCCTATCAATCAATAAAGAACTATTCTTACTTCCATTTCCCTTCATTTTCCATCCTCCCCGTACCCCATTTCTGTAATTCTTACCTTTAATAATCCAAAGTCGTAACAGGCTGGAAGCTCAACTTACTCATTTGCAAACAGAGGAGCAGCAGCTGTGTTCTCTACTGGAGCAAACAGGAGAGGAAACTGTCGTTTGCCATACAATGAATTTGTCTGCCAACAGGAGGAATGGAGGTGTTTCCATAATTTACCCCAGCCCATTGATGTCAGTCCAAGAACACGATTCTGGGAAAGAATGAGCAGCCAGATGGAGATCCGATCACCATCATTGGCGAGCCTGAACGGAGAGAGCTGTGTGCTGCCGATTTGGAGGACAAGGTGGACCACCAATGGCTGGAGCAGCAGCTGTGTTCTCTACTGGAGCAAACAGGAGAGGAAACTGTCGTTTGCCATACAATGAATTTGTCTGCCAACAGGAGGAATGGAGGTGTTTCCATAATTTACCCCAGCCCATTGATGTCAGTCCAAGAACACGATTCTGGGAAAGAATGAGCAGCCAGATGGAGATCCGATCACCATCATTGGCGAGCCTGAACGGAGAGAGCTGTGTGCTGCCGATTTGGAGGACAAGGTGGACCACAAATGGCTGGACCTGTCCCTACATTTGGCTTGTTGTCTCACACCTCCAAAAACCATGAAGTTGTTGGAGGAGCTTGATGGAAACGAAGTGCTGATTTTGCTGATAGCAGAGCAAGCCATAACTTCATCAAACAAAAGTTGGTTCAACGGCTGCAACTACAGGTGACCCCTACTCCTACATTTGGAGTACAACTTGGAGATGGATAGAAGAAGCAATCAATAGGTCTTGCAGTTGAATGACTCTAGTCATGGGAGACTATGACCTGATGGGAGACTTCTTTGTTTTTCATTTAGGAGGCGTGGATGTAATTCTAGGAATTGCTTGGCTAGAAACATTAGGGGATGTGAGGATCGATTGGAGGTCTGTTTGTATGTCCTTTGTTCTGGCGGATCGTAACATTACCATTCAGGGGAAACCTAACACTTACCAGGGCCGTGTAAAAGACTTGAGAGTGTAACATGTTTCAAAAATTACACTTTTGTCCCTGAACTTATTTTCAAAATTCACTTTCATCCCTCATGTTTTATTTGTTTTCTTTCTTGAATAGCATCTAATGTTAAAAAGAAAATTCATGGTTTGCTTGGCTTTCTTAAATAAATAAAGCACGAACTAGAAAACAAATGCAACAAGGTTGTCCATCCCTCTACACCAATATCAACAACACTTTTATCCCAACTTAGTTTGGGTCGGTGGCAAATGAACCCAAATAAAAAGTACAAAAAAGATTGAGGAAAACAAAAAACAATGATGGCAGTCCCTCTGCATGTCAAAAATTGAATGAAACAGAAATGGGTAGAGTACCAAAGACAAATCATAGATATAATTCTATCACACAAAATTTAGAGACAGAGTGTGTGGAAAATCCTTGTAATTAGGAATTGTGGGTTGAACCCACATTGCTACCTTCTTTTTAACATATTGTGCTTTGATTCTTTCCTCTTTTACCCCTATATTCTTATCATATGTTGTAAAACCACACCCTATTGGGTGACAATCAATGAAATACAGTGTTTTAGCAAAAAAATATCCTCAAACATGAAGCCATTATACCACAACCAAATTCACAAGAGAATAAAGGGCAAATCCCAATGCATAAAGCTTCCAGACTTTGCAACAGTACAGGTAATGGTTGATTATACTCAACCTTACCCTTGGATCTATTCAAAGAGACTATTTCCTAAACTCAAAACCGTGACCTTCTAGTCACAAAGAAACAATCTCACCACTTGCAAATGCAAAAGAGAATCTTTTATTACTTTCTTTTCCAAAAAAACAAAAATACACCAGAGAACAAAAAAAAAATATTGCACACTACCAAAATGCTTTGACATTAAATTTACCAAAATCTTTAGGGTATGTTACGGATGGGGGATATTGGAGGAAAAGGGAAGATATGCTAAGAATTAATTAAAGAATTTTTCATTTTCAGTAAATATACTCTAATTCAAGAATTTTTTAAAATGAAAGGAATAAAATGATATATTATCAGAGCCTTGAAATCATCCCTTATTCATTTTTTAAACATTATATAACTCTATAAATTAAAAAATGAGAACATTATGCTCCCTTCTCGTTCCCTCCAAAACCCTATCTCCAAAAATATCCTTGGAGTTGGAGGGAAAGAGTATTGTAAAACTAATAAGGCACGTCTCATGTAAGGAAAGTCCTAACGATAAAGAAAGGATTTTCTTGCAGTGCACCAAAAGTAAAGGGTATAAGGGTTATTACGAAGTCAAATAGCAGAAATGAATAGGTGTACAAAGTCAGTGTTATAGATTACAATTATTCAGAAAACCATGTTATTGAAACATGTATCATCCACTTGATGATTCTATCCATAGATATCCAATATATATTACCTACTAAGGTAAACAAAAACAAAGATAGAGATCCCCTTGTCAAATACCTTGTTGACTAAAGAACAAGGATTAGAGCCAAACCATTCACAATCATAGAAGAAGTAGCACTAGAGAGACAACCAGAAATCTTAAAATCAATTTGAAATTCAATCTTACAATCTTGAATTTAAAAATGATACCTTCTAGGAAATCTATGAAAGCAATAAACATGATATTCAAACATGACATTGCAAGAAAATTTACAGTACAAAACCATGATGGCATGCAAAGATAGGTAAAAGAGGAAAAGAAACAAGAGTAGAACAAATGGGAAATGGTAAGAAAATACCATGTCTAAGTCCATATCCAGAGGAAACCGGGGGCGTCTTTCTCTAGACAAGAATGGTGTTGGAGACCGACTTGTAATGCGACTCCTCAACTGTAACATTCTATTAGAGAAATGAACTTGAGGCACAGTTCTCCTCCTATTTGAAAGACTTTGACGAGACCGTGAGCGAGGCTGTCTATTTGCCCTTGGTATCCATGTCTGTAAAATTAAAAATTAGCATAGTTATCAATCTTGGATAACATTGCATCGCAGCTGACCCAACAACTGCTATAGTGGGATAGCAGGTAACGGTATAGCCGCTACAACGAGGTCAAGTTATGAGATTAATTACGGAATAAATACAAAACCATTATGTGTTTATGACCATTCTTTAATTATTGTTATGATTATATTACCCAAAACTCGAAAGAAGACAAGTAAATGGTTAAAATTAAAAAAAAAAAAAAAATAAGATATTAAGGCACCAAAACTTGTCTACTACTACTCCCAACGCTTTTCTTGAATTCTCTTCCCACTCTTCCACTACCCATTAATTAATACCCCTCCACAATAAATGAGATAATTAATCAAAATTAATCAAATTCATTTTAAAATTCAAAATAATGATAACAAAATGATAAAACTCCATTTAATGGATTTCAATTAAATTTAACAACATTACTTTCAATGTTTTTATCTTGTCTTTTAATTTTACAATAACATAACATATATCTTTATTGGCATATATAAATCTCACAGTCACACACATGAAGGAACAGCCCTCCAGTCTCATATCTTTCTCTCTCTAAAAGCAGTGAGAACACAGCAATGGCTCTCGAGGTGAGCCCTCTAATTAGGGTTCTAGGATATCCTTCATTCAGAGTAGTGAAGCGATTTGCCACAATTTTGGCCACTACTGCAATTTGTTGCCAATTGTTGCATTGCGTAGCAGAAATCGCAGAGGGGGCCACTACTCACATATATGGCACAATAGCAATGCAATCACGTGCTATTAATAACCTAGAAAAATAGATGGTTCATTATATAACACATTAAGCACTGCTGCATGAATACCAAACTCATTACCCACTTAGCAATCAATTACTATCTTATATATCCCATACTTTTAAAGGGTAGGGGGCATAATCAAGGTTCCAAGATACTAATCCCACTAACCACAGGTGGGAGGGAAGGGGAGGGCTACAGAAGATGAATAGCATCTCGGATAAGCATCCAGAATATATGCCCTAGCCCTACTACTTTAAAGTTTAAAGTATGAGTTCTAATATTTGATATTTTTCCTGCCACCTCTCTATCATGTGGATACAACATAACATCACACATCCTTATTACAGATCTCTTTAAGAGATAAAAAAGCTAAGCCTAATAATAAATACATAGATACAAGGTTATGCAGTATGTAGCTTTCAAGTGCCTCGAAGTACTTCCACCTTTAAATTCCACATTTATCATCCATGGACCATCTATGAGTCTTTTAAAATAAATGTGATAGGACTAAATCATGATATACAGATCAAAAATTTGACAAAAACTTAGGTACAGGTCATTTTAGCATTGCTACACAAAAGAAAGATGATAATTTGCAGAACATAGACAAGAAACTTTGCTTATAAAGAAAGGAGTTCACTTTAGTATATCTAAATCAGAGTAAAAGAGAGAGAGGCTTAGTTACAGGATAAGAAATATGGTGACTATCAACAGATGCATGCAGATGATCCTCTGCATGCTGTATCTCCCACGCTAAATGGTCGTCAATCTGCAGCAAATCAACATATGACAAGTTCTTGTAAATAGGAAGCATATGCTTAAACTAGAACTTATCATTCATAAAAAAAGTTAGCAAAAGAAAATAGCTGACCCTTCTTCCTTCAAAAGAATCATCATGATACAGTTGTTCTTGGAGTTCACGAGCCAATATCTCATCTGCTTCTACTTGTCTTGCCCGAGCATCTGAGCTATTATTTTCGTTGTCATCTAAATCTTCAGAAAGTCTGTTGGTGTACTCAGGTGTGGATAACAACTCAATCATTTCAGGATCCAAGACAGGGCTCCGGGATGAGCTTGATGATTCCCCAGATGAACCGAGGAACATAATTTCTGAATTATAAGAAGCTTCATTAGGATTTCCCAAAGTTGATCCACGTTTCCTTTGCCTTTTAGTCAGTGTGTCAGCAGTAGGTCGTGTTCCAGTTGTTGGGTCTACCTCCGGAATGATCAGAGAAGTTGGATGAGCTGTATGATCTAATACAGAACCATGAACCTCCTTTCTGATTTGACTGCTCCCAGTGTCTCTTCTGTCCATTCTGTTCGTATTCTGTCTATTAACAAATCTTCCAGCATCATAATTTCTCCTTGAACAATGCCCATTTACATCATACAAGTGCTGATCAGCATTCTTCTCATTATGTGTAGTTCTCCAACCACCTTGTCCCCCAGAGAATTTAAGTGAATTTCTTATAGCATTACTGGTAGCATTGGCATCTTCATAATTGATCACAGGGCTGCTGAAGAAGCAGTAAATCCTTCAATCTCAGCATAAGTAGTCAACAGATATAAGAGACAGGGCTTATTTAAACATGTAGACAATCAAAGAAAAACTTCATATACATCTAAATATATTTTCACTTTCCAGAATGATTCCACAAATAACAAAATTTGCATCAATGTACTGGTTTAGCAAATCACTGCGAATTTTTGAGCGGGATTGCAAAACTAAAGGATCCATTATATATCAAGATATCTATATCAAAGCAAACTTCCCATCACCGTTCCTCTCTTACAAATTAAATTTCTTCCTTTTGTGCAGAACAATTATTTGTCCTGTCAATCAGAATTACCATAATATTAGTGGAAGATTTTATTTGACTTGTTATTTTTCTTAGTCACTCCTAATTCTGATTAAATGTGCTTCTGACAAAGATTATACCAAGCTCCAACAAGTCAGACCAACTTCAATAATTATGATGTTCATATGGTCATACTATTGAATAAAGATTCTGACCTTTATAAATGAACTACTCACATGCATTTTGAGTTTAAGTAATGAAAGAAATAATCTAATTTCATTTTCTGGTGAAACAACAAAAGTTAAAATATAATCCATTTAACTGAAAAACTTCCGAGGCTCCTTTATGGAAGACATACTTCTTCAGTGACCAGCTATAAATACATGGACTTCATGAAAACCTAAGTAACCAATCTCCAACAAATTTAAATGACAAAAAATAACCAAATTGATGCTGACAGAAAATAGGTAAAGGAAAGAAATGAGGAAACAAACCCAAAAATGTTTTAAAATTGGAGAGTTTTGCATTCCTAAGATTCAATATATTATAATGATTTACTAGCTGCAATATCCTTTACGTAAATTACTTTTTCATTTATGAACATACAAACAGGTTATTAATATAATTTAATAATACCATGCATAGAAATCTTGCATAACTATTGATGCCAGATTTCCTGGAAAAGGTGATATGACTACCAGGTCATCGACTAAGAAGCACTTCAATGTGAAACACAGTCAGATTACCTGTTAACAGTGTGAATAGTTCCAGCATTCAGTTCCTGTGATGATGGATGAATAAGTACTTCCTTTCCTTTCACTCTACCACTGCCTCTCCCTTCAGCAACTATATCATCAACAGTAATTGGTGACATTGTAATGCTAGAAACTGAATGCCCAGAAAGACTGTGCTCAACATCATTGGTTTGATGGCTGCTCTGCTCAGCTGACTGTTTTGCCCTTGATGCAATATTGTGTGGTGAAATGCACCCGTTTCGTACCAATCTCTTGTGCCCTCTACTCCTTGGAGCGGTGGAAAAACGAGGAGGCAAAGACTCTTGCCTATCAGTTTTTGATTGAGCATGAGAATCATTTGACAGAGAAATGCTCTTGCCACGGTCCATAGATATATTACGACCTGGAAGTGTTTTATTATCTAGTTTACATTTTCCAGTGAAGGCATTTCTAGATGTATCAGAAGAATCAGAAATGAATGGTAATGAAGTGTTCCCAATACTTTCTCTTGATCCACGATGTGAGAAAGATGGTTTCAAAGGCTGGAACTGTCCATTCTCTTTGGTCAAATCTAAAACAGAAATAGGCCCATGGTGAGATGATTTAGAAGGAAACTTAGAGCTAATAGTTTTCCCTTTTTCCATCTTTCCAGCTCCATTAGAGTGTTCTGTCTTAGGTCCAAAATTTTTCTCAGTTTGGGCTCTCCTAAAAATGGGAGCATTTTGAGATGGATAAGATTTCTCTGAGGGGTACACTGCTATATAGTTGCTGCAGCTATTCATTTCATCAGCGACAGGAAAAGCCCTCTCCCTCTTCTCAGGATTACCTACATATTTCCGATCATCATGCCTGACAGTTAATCTATCTGGGGTATCAGGTACATCCACAATATGATCAATTTCCATATCCTCCGCCATGCTGTTTTTGTATCATATACAACATCAAGAGTTATTCCATAAAACAGTAAAGTAATAATTATAAATGATAGAAACTTATGGCATGAAAACTTTCTATTGACTACAAGAATTCTACGTACACAAATGCTATAAAGGCACAAAAAATAGTTTACCCAACAACATTTGACAGAAAAATGATAGCCAAGAATGACGAAAAGCATTGCATGAATGCAAACTTCATAGTCAAGGTAGTATAGAAATCTCATGTACATCGATTATGGTCAAGGCAATGGACAAGTAACTCATATTTCCAGACACATAAACAAAGGCAGCCACCAAAGCGGGTATTTCATTTATCAATGACAAACGAAGATTAGAACCCAGGACTCAAAGGTCACAAATTGAAAGTAAAACCTACAAAAGAACTTATCCAAATTCTTAAAGCCACAAGCAAAATTTCACAAGATATGGCTTGAGTCGGAGACAAAAATCTGAAATGAGCCCAAAGGGAAAGCAAAGATAAGTAAATGCAGTGTTGCACACCAATTACATTATGCAAAGATAAGCAACTGCAATGGAATGGAAACTAAACCAAGTAAGACTGAAGGGAAAGCAGAATGGCTACCTACACAAAAAATTTAACACAAACTTAAAAGGAAAGGTTCATTACTCCTCCAAGAAAATGAAACCCCATAAATTATAAGAAATAATTTGACTTCGCTGAATGATGACCACAACAATCACAAAGTGTGGGATTATTTTAGGTTTAAAAGAGAAAAATGGTTGCAGAACAGTTTAAATTCCCCAAAGAAAGTGGAGAAAAAAAATGCTTCACTGCAGCAACATGACTTATGTGACATACCCTTATCACAAAATCATAAAAAGAATATATAAAAAAACTGAATCTTGAAACAAATGCAAAAATAAACGAACGGGAGACACTATCAACACCACACAATAATTTGATAATACTTTTTGAAGAAAAACGAAAACCTAAGAATTAACAGAGAAAGATCAAAGAAATTATAAAATCGGAATAGGTCGAAAACTAAAAGAAAACATGCACAAAAAACAGATACAATTGATACGATTTTTAAAAGCAGAATTCAGACAAAAACTTCTAAAAATTTCAAAATAAAATAACAATGAACACCTGATTAGAAGTGAGCGATCCAAAATTGTAAGAGAAAGAGAGAGAAAGGAAGAGAATTTATCACTGCGCTCAATGGAATCGATCTGTTCAGATGCAAAATGGTCGGGTCGGACCGTTTTCACTGGACACAAATCGGGGATGAAAGAGCCCGAAAATAAATGAAATAAAAGATGTGAATTTCCTCTCTATCTCTTGCGCAATTTATAAAGATTATTTAAATCTTGGAATACGATATTTTATCTATTTTTTTATCATGCTTATTTTATTTATTTATCTTAAATACTATTATATTAGAATTTAACTAATTTTCATTCTTTCTCTTTTATCTTAAAATTTTGATTTAATAATATCATATATCCTTTATTTATTAGATTAATAAAAAGAGATTAATATTTTTTATTATGTAAAAAATAATTTTATCTCCTACAAACATATAAAAATGTGTGGAGTCATATTATCTTTTTCTCTCTCTTCTTTTTATATGATCTTGTGTGAATTTCATATATTTTTGTGAGTGAAGATAGATAATAATCTAATAAAAAAAGCGGGTTGTCAATTTCTTTTCTTTTTTTCTTTTTGTAACAATTTTTTTCATTTAGTTTAAATATTTATTTAAAACTTCGGAAATAAATTATTTTTTTAATTTTTTTCTCTTTTCTTTTCTGTAGGGAATCTTTAAGTCATACATAAATATTTTGTTCTTAATAAAAGATAAGCTCCTCATTTATTCGCACATTTTTTTTTTTTGGTGTGATTCTCACATTGTTTTGCTGCTACGTGTTCTGGAATTCTTTATTTGGATATGTTTTTTTGGAAAATATTGGATGTGCCTAGGGGTGTAAATAGGTCAGGTTAGACTTTAACTTAAATAGGTCAGGTCTGTGTAAAAAATATTGGGTCTGGTATGACCTATATTTAAAAAATAAAAGTTTTGATCTAGGCATGTTAGCCTGTTTAAGCCTATTAAACATTCAACAATTAAAAGAATAACTAAAATAATATTACTTTATTATTCTAAATTATTAAAATAATAATTTTATTAATTTAAAATAAATAATAAGATATAGGTCGGCCCATAAGCTTATAGGCCCGACATGTACAAAAATAGCATGTGACCTATTTTTTAAATAGGTTTGTTTAAAAGCTTAGGCCTACTCTATTTTACTATTTATAATAAATCAAGTTTGACTTAATATAGGCGAGGTCGTAGGCCCCTGTAGGCTGGCCTAGCCCATTTATACCCTTAGATGTGTGCCCTAGATGCTTGGATCAATTTTTGATGACTAGTTTTGGTAAAAATAAAGAAGCCATAATTTTGTGGCAATGTCATTTTTTCCATATCATGGTGCACTTTTCCCCCGTAGATATGTTGAGGGATTGGGTTGTTTTAAAACATTGGTGTTTTTGTTTTCTTTTAAGGAGGCTCTTATCTTTTTATTCCTTTTATTCTTTTTCACTTTCACTTTTTAAATTTTTTCTCTTTACTAAATTTTTTTTAGTTAAAGTATGTTTTACAGATCCATTGTGATGTGAAGTTTACATTCATTTAATATTTTTTATTATCTTATTCACTCTCATTTCTATTTTAAATTATAGGGTCAATGTTTACCCAAAAAAAAAAAAAAGTATGGGTCAAGAGTATTTGTACATCTAGAATATTTGAATTTGTAAAGTTCTTATATGTAATGGAAAGTTTACATGATAAGTTACTATAACTATTATTTTAGGAATATTCCTTAGTCGTTGTGTATGATACAAAAATAGATATATGAAGGAGTACGTGGAAATTGATCATATTATAAGAAGTAGTAATCTTAAAATGAGGGAGATGGGCCAGATGGCTTTACATGTTGCTGATAAAATGAATAACTGCAGGTCTGGAGCAACTATATACCTATATCTATTAGTGAAATCTTATCTATCTCAAAATGCTTTGATCTTTGAGAGAGCCAAAGTTGAGAAAAATTTTGAACTAGGACAACACACTCCAATGGAGCTAATAAGGAGGAAAAAGGGAAAATTATAAGCTCCAAGTTTCCTGCTGTGTCATCTCATCATGGGCCTATTTTTGGTTTTAGATTTAACTTGAGAAAATGAAGAGTTCCAACAACTAAAACCAGCTTTCTCAAGTGTTAGTACATAGGTGTCTAAGAGACAATCTGAGTGTCAGATGTATCCATGTACTTCTTTACTAGTTATGAATAAAAATACTCTTTATCTTGTTTCATATTGATTGTATACATTGTCTTCTTGAAACATGGAGACTCGTAGGTATACTCTTGGGCATGCCCTCAGGACTCAGGGCTAGTGTAACAAGCTAAAGAAATTCGTCAATCTCTGTGAGAGATTATGTTATCTGTAGACCGGTGAAACCGGGATGACATTTACGGGACTCGGGAATCTATGCATAGTAAAGGAGTCATGAAATGGCTCGCTCTTTAGAGTCTGTAAATGAATATTCCCTATTTCGGCAAAAGCTAACTCTAGACCGCATGGGTTGATACGTTTTTCTTTACCTAGGTCAATGGGATGGATAACCAAGACGAAAGGACAATTCACACGGTAACCAAATAGGTATAACAAGTTGACCATTCGATGAACTCAACTAGATCTGAGACAACAAAGCATTGCTAGTACTCTGTGTTGTCATTAGATGGATTGGGCCTAATGGGCCCAAGCTCATTTATGTCAGTGGCTATGTTAGGCCTGCCGGGTCGCACACAAACACCTTAAGTTATCTTGAATTCTAGCTTATGTGGTTGGGCCCAATAAGGCATAATGGGCCTAAGTTGAAAAAACGCACATGTTGGACCAAGAGAAAGTAGGTGGCATCATGGGTCAAGTTGGACTTGATCCATGATGTAACCTAATTAACTTAAATATTAAATTAATAAAATTAATTTGAATTCCAATTTTGAATTTTGAATTTGAAATTTGAATTTAAATAAAATTATTTTAAATTCTAATTCTGAATTTCGAATTTGAAATTTGAATTTAAATATAGTCATTAAATTAGATTTATTGAAGATGGAGAAAATAAAGGAAACCAATCAATTAGATTGATTGGAAACAAATCAATTGGATTGATTGACCAAAATTAAGGAAACTAATTAATTAAATTAATTGGCTGAAATTGGGGAAACAAATCAATTGGATTGATTGACAAAAATTAAGGAAACCAATTAATTAAATTAATTGGCAGAAATTTGGGAAACCAATCAATTGGATTGATTGGATAAAATTAAGGAAACCAATTAATTAAATTAATTGGCTGAAATTGGGGAAACCATTCAATTGGATTGATTGGATAAAATTAAGAAAATTACCCAATAAAATTGGGATTTGATGAGGCGATGATTTGACCCAGTGTTATGTTAATGAGGTGTCACATCTATATATAGCCCATCTTCTTCCTTAGTTTTGCATCTCTTCTTCTCTAATTTTCTCCATTGAAACCTTAGCCAACACACACATCAGTGTGGCGACTATCTCTATAACACCTTTTATCTTAAATATGTGTTTATATGTGATAATGTTGATTAAAAGGGTAGGATCAGTGAAAATCCTGAAATTAGGGCCAAAATATGTGAAAAGGGCAAAATGGTAATTTACTAAACCGTAACCCGAGGCATGAAAAAATTGAGTAGAAGATCTCAAATGATAAAAATAATGCCGGAAATGGATTCAGGACGAAAAATCGAGTGGATAGGCAAATTTCGGAAAATTTGATGAATGGTGATTTTACCGGTGTAAAAATACTGCGGTATAATTGTACCGATAAGCGCAAAAATATTGTCAGTATTTTTAGGAAACAAAAATATAACATGAACGAGAAAAATACGTAGGTTATGAATCTGTGGTTTAAATTAGGTGATTGATTAAAGATAAATCGCATGTGGGACCCACTTATGAGTTAAGTGACTTATATGTCACAATTTCACACACTCTCTCTCCTAATTCTTCTTCTTCCCCGCGCACTCCTTCCCCTCCATGGCTATAGAGCTTCAAAAATTCCCTTTTCTTGTAACTTCATCAAAACTACACCAAATCAAGTGCTTCTTGACTTGAAACTTGTTGGAAACAACCTTCCAAACCCATTGGTAGTAGTATTAAGCCATGAAACCCACTACATTTTGAGAAAAACCCCCTAAAGGTCGCGCCCCTTTGTGTGAGATTTGTGTTCATGGAGTTGTTTGGAGCCCCAATGGTTTAGTATGATGTGGAGGAGCCTTAGACCGACCTATTGAGTAAGTTTTAACACTTTCTATTGATTAATTCATGAGATTTATGATTTGTGCCCTAGAGTGAAATTAGATGATATGTGTTGTTAGAGAGCTCAAATGAAAAATGTGTATTAGATGATTATGTCTTAGAATGATGTGTTTGAGCTAGAAATGTTATAAAAATTATTGGTGAAATTGTGTTCATAACTTAGGAAATTTTGAATGGTGCCATGAAATTGTGATTTTGGGATTGTGTTAAAATTGTGTAAGTGGATGGTGGTTGTTGGTATAAATTGATGGTAGATTATATGATGTGTATAATTGTTAGAACGGACGGAAAAACCTTGGGGTACCATCTATGGGGATTTCGAACCATGTGGGGTTTGGAAGGAAATTGAGGTGTTAATGAATAATTGTTGATTGGTGATTAAGTGAGGGGTAATGTGATTGAGACCGGTGAATTATATGGTTGTGTGTCATTAGTCCTAGTGATTCTAATTGATTATGAATTGTGTAAATGAATGGTTTGCATGGAAACCGTATTGATGTCGACATTATGATCAATCTAGGTTGCCTCGCACGGACGCTATAGAAGCGGAATAAGCTTGGAGCTTACGTTGTGGAGCATTGGCTTCGGAGTTGAGGTAAACCTTTGAAACTTGGGTTTTAATCCCTTGTGTGCTCCACCACACCTAGTGGAAGGTTGTGGTTGGATTTTGTGCCTTTGGACATTGTGTGAATATGTATGTTCATGCATTATTGCTTGATTGTGTGACATGCTTGGAGCATGTTGTGTTTGAATGGTTTGATCTC